TGCACCAAGTTACTAATGTCTAATATCTACCAAACACAGACCATGTGATCTGTTGCACCAAGTTACTAATGTTTAATATGTACCAAACACAGACCATGTGATCTGTTGCACCAAGTTACTAATGTCTAATATGTACCAAACACAGAACATATGATCTGTTGCACCAAGTTACTAATGTTTAATATGTACCAAACACAGACCATGTGATCTGTTGCACCAAGTTACTAATGTCTAATATGTACCAAACACAGAACATATGATCTGTTGCACCAAGTTACTAATGTTTAATATGTACCAATACAGACCATATGATTTGTTACATCAAGTTACTAATTTCTAATATCTACCAAACACAGAACATATGATCTGTTACATCAAGTTACTAATGTTTAATATGTACCAAATACAGACCATATGATTTGTTATATCAAGTTACTAATTTCCAATACCTATCAGACACAAATCAAGTGATTTTTTTTGCATCAAATTACTAAAGTATAACATCTACCAAACAGAGAACACAAGTTTTAAGGTTTTAACTTTTTATAGAGAATAAAATGTTTACGTTCTACAAACAGGAATGACCGATCTGGTTAGAGGATGACAAGAAGCAGTGACCATTTTTAACAAGTAAGCTATACTAACTGTAATTATCTTGGAAAATTTGATTGATAGATGAGTTTTTGGTTTAAAACAAAACAATTTATTCACAATAATCAATCAGACATTTTCTTATGTGAGTTAATGTTTTAAAATAAAAGCAAGTCCACAATTTGAAAATCTACAGGTATATGGTTTGAAAATTATTGGTTGAATACTCACTAGATTTAATTTTTATAACCAAGCACATGAAAGAGGAGTGGTGAAAAACATGAAATTACAGCTCATATTAACTAAAGCATGTGAAAGATGAGCAAACTTACAGCTGGTGTTATATCGGTACTCTCCATCACCTCACAGCAAGTCTGTAACAACTTTGATATTTCTTCCTCTTCTTCTAAGATACCTGAAAAACAAATAATGAAGAAGAAAATGATTGATTCTTCAGAGTATAATAATTTATTATCACACCAATACACTACCATATCAAACTACAGAAGATTCTTCAAACATACTAGCTGTTTTTTATACAGATTTCGATCAGTCATTCTTCAGAAAACATCAGCACACATGTGATCTATGCTAAAAATATCGAGATTTTATGCCAAGGAAGGTAAGACCATTGATAAAAAATTTTAAAACTTAGTCTTTAAAGTATATCAAGAATTATTACACTAGTATCAACAAAGTGAATGCACTTTTAAAAACTTACATTAAGAATAAGATTTAATTCGAAAACATACATTAATTCCTTTACAATCAAAGTTATGACCCATCTATGTAAATGTTCATTTTAAAAATGAGGTATTCATAGTATTAATTGAAAGTTATTTGTAAATGTTTTATAAAAGACATGAGTATTTTTAAGTTTTGGAACAATGTCTCACTCTGCCTGTGACTAACATCACAGGAAACTCCAATCAAAAAACCAACAGTGAAACAACTATTAAATTATTAAACATTCTTGTTTAAAAACACATTTTCAACAAGTTTCATTATTATTTCATGATATCTTTTTTATTATTTTTTAATCAGTTTGTTAAAGTATTATGTAAACCATGATGGATCAGTTTTTTATCAAAATCAAAAATCCAATTGTAATGCTGAATGATAGTTAGTTGACTTGTAATGTGTTCTGTATCAGTTAAAAATAGATCATTAGTAGTGATAAATTAATCCTGGATCAGATAATTGTCAAAATTAATATGTTAAATATCCACTTCTTGACTTGTTTACCAATAATTTTTTTTAGTAATTTTCAATTTGCAGGAGAAATGACTTATTCCCAAGAAAATGGATGAGTTTACCAGTCTCCTACAGGATAAAGGAGACACCAGATGTACGTATAAGTATCTATTTAAATAAAATGCTTGCATTTGTCTGTGTGCAACTTTTCTTATAATTTCTCTATCAATCACTACAAATCTAATATCATTAGAAAGGCCTTTGTCTAAGGAATCCAGATTGTGTATTGGCTTTTCAATTCAAAATCACCTTACCTGTTTTTTGGTTTGTCAAACTTTTTAATGCAATGAGTATGGTACATGATGGCACAATGTCATCATCACATGATAACTGGCTTTGATTTCAACTTAGTCTTTTTATTTGTAAGGTATTTCACACAAACAATACTTTACCCATTGTGTAATTTCCTAAAACAAATAAACACTACCCTAAATACAATTTCAATGGGCTTTCTTGACTTATGTAGGTCTAAAATACTCCTGTGTAATTCATTCAAAAACCATATGCTAATCACTTTGTGAACACACATTCAGCTGAAATTGTCTTCATTACAACTTTACATTTACTTTATTTTGCAATAATGTAGCTTCGGTTCATTTCATACACTGCTATAAACACATTTTAACTACTTTTTTTCTTCAGTACAGATTATATTCCTCATTTTTGCAAGTTTCTTTGTTTCAACTTGTAAAACTGTGTCATACACTGAACGTTCATAACTGTTTAATACTCTGTACACTATTATAAATACCATTATTATACTTTATTGTTTATTTTACATGTAGTTTTGTTAAATAAAATTATATCTATGCGAGTTTGTTTGTCTGACTTCATAAATTTTTTAAAATAGACCAGGATTTATCGATCTAACACATAATGCCTGCATGAAAGCATAGTTTAAATGGTGTGCATGAAAATGATAAAGAAAATTCAAGCAAAGGGCATGAAAACTACCACAAATGTTTTGTGGGTCATGGCTAGTGATATCAGTAAGTTACCTTGTATATTAACTAAGGATGCTAAAGTTCCCAGGAGTGCTCTTTTTGTTTTTTTACATCCCATAATGTGAACCTTGCTTGATGAGTCAGTCTGATAAGGAACTGTAAGCTTGACTAATTCTTGCAAAATCTTCATACTTAATAAAATGTCCTACAGAGAGGGAGAAAAGAAATTATATATACACAGTTGTGTGTGTGTGTGTGTATAACAGAAAACACTGTTTTATAATTTCAATCTACTTTAACAGTACAGCACCAATAGTAAGTATTATCTTATTAAAATGATTTTATTACTACACTTAGTGTTTAATGTATAGAAAACTTGTATTTTTTTTCTTTCTGTACAAAAACTGTGAATATCTGCTTATTCTTTGTTTAATTAAATATATGTAAAGTAAGATAGTAACATGAACCAAAATTATAAAGTTTTAAGATTATCTCTTAAATTTTAAATTGTGATATTATTAATTTCTCAATTTAATCCTGCAAGAACCACTTACTTCATGATCTAGCATTAAAAACAAAAGAAGCTGTAAGTTAAATTCTGGTTGTTAATAACGTGTTCAAATATGCTTTCTCTTCAACATTAGCCAGCAAAAAATATGTTAAACACAAAAGTAAGTGAACATTTCTTACACTGTTTTGTAAAGTGCTTTGAATAGACTTTAAGAGATTTAAGCTGAACATTGTTATCTTCCTACAAGTAGTTTTCTCTAGCAAAACACTTTCTACCAGGAATCCTATTTCATCAAAAGGTTGCATGTTCACTTCAAAACCACCAATTTTTGCAAGAGGGCTGATCATGATGTACAACAGTGGCGTACTTAGATGACTGGCACCTGGGGGCATACTATGAAAACATTTAAGTTTTAAAAATATAATATAAAGGTGCTAAAAAGATCACATGATTTCTAATGCCACTGAAAAATAATTAAACTAAATATATGTCACTGAGTTTCAAAGATTATCATATTTGATATAAGTTAGTAACTGGACAAAATCTAATAACATGAATATCATGCAATGTTACTGATTTTTCTATAAAGTAGATTATAGAAAAGTTAAAAACAAACAGTACTTGAACATGTTCTTTGATGAAGGAATTAACAAGAGTTAATTCTTATTTTCAATTTATTAGAAGATTAAATAATTTCAATTTTTTTTAGTTGGCATAAAAAGTACAAAATAACTTATAAACACCAGAATAGAGGGGTTTAGCACAAACAGCCCCTACCCTCATAAATTACAGTACATTTATGATTTCCCCTGAATTTTTCATCCAAAATAATGACTAGCTATAAACAGATGAAGAATCTGAAAGATAAGATAAAAAGATGTCTTTAAAATTGGTTAAAATTGATTTTCATCACATCTTAGCCCTCACTGTATCAAAATAAGCCCAAATAGCCACTCTAATTGTAAAACATGTTTATGAGAGAGCATACCACCCCCTCTTAGTTTTCCTCTGCCCTTGGCAGGAGTACTTCCGGAAGGTTGATTTACTTCCAAATTTTGATTCCAAAGACTGTAGAACTATACAGATGCATAATAAACCTAAAGTTTCTGGAGATATCTATCAAAACTATCACAACAATTTTCATGCCTACAAAAAAAATTCATATTCAAGAAATTATCACATTTTTGCTTTTTTAAACTATTACTTCACAATCACACAGAAAAGTTGCAATTTACATACCACTTCAGAAAAGCAGCAGCCAGACACAACAACACTTGCAACTGGTTCTGTAAGATTAAAGTTGAGACTATTTGAGTCAGCTGTGCTGTAAATTCAGGTATGTTGCTGCAATCAAAATAATGAAAAACAGATTAAACCTTGTTAAACTGATAAAAAAGTAGATATTGAATTGGAATGCATATATACCTAAGGCAGTGCTTCCCAAACTTTTTCAGCTTGCAGCACACTTTTAATGTCCTAAACTTTTTTTTTTTGTGGCACATGTATACAAGTCTGTATGGCAGGCCTAGTGGCCCCTCTCTGACTGAGACAGGCAGAAATTACTGTTATATTGTCTATCAAGGAGAAAATAAATCAAATTTTAAATTTTAAAAATTTATTAACTTGATAATAAGTTTATATTACTAAATAAAAATTACTTAATAATTGCAAAAATTCCACAGCACATCCGAGACCCTTTCACGGCACAACTGTGTGCCGCAGCACACAGTTTGGGAAGCACTGACCTAAGGGGCAGGGAACAAAAGATAAGATTTCTTTAGATCAGTATAGAGGTACCTAGCATCTAAGTTACTAAAATTTCTATCATGCACTAGTTGCAAAAGTATGTGGTGAAAAATAACATCTATAAAAAACTGCTGACACACATATCACAGTTAACAAGATAACTGAACAGATTCAATGAATATGCACTTTTTCTTTCAATTTCCCTTCATTTCAAATAGTTGATTTTTATCTAAGTAACGGTCACTGCTACTATAACAACATATAAAACTACAAGGGAACATAATGCCTCAAATGAATAATACTTTCCTCTATTTCGAGTTCATCTCTTTAATCCTATGTGCACACATGGAGGTAAAAGTGCACTACAACCTTTTACAGAATTCAGTCATTCAGCGTGGTATTATATATTTGATGTCAGAGTTATCAAGTATTTATTTTACCCAACATTGCTGATCTGAAAAAACTGCAGATACCATATTGCCCCTAATTAACACCCCAAGAGCACTGCAAACTGCAATAGGGGGGGGGGGATGCTAATTATAGTATTTGTACAATTCCAGATTTTGTTTTTCACATGTGATTTGTTGATTTCAATGCTGATAAAAATATAGGGGGGGGGTGATAATTAGGGGCAATACAGTGTGCATTTTTTTGTTTTAGAAGTTAAGTAAATATAGTGTGCAAACTGAACAATGGACAAAAGAAAATTCATCCTTCACATGAACATCACCTTACACTTAAACTTGTCAGAGTCTGAGTCAGACTGACATTGTCAATTCATATACAAATACTTATGGAATACATCTTATTTTTTGTATACAAAAGACTTGTACATTTTGTTAAAAGTTTGACACATTTATATATATATATAGTAATTCAGAATCATAGCCAACATTCCTTCTCCAATATACATAGTTAATTCAGAATCATAGCCAACATTCCTTCTCCAATATACATAGTTAATTCAGAATCATAGCCAAC